TTCCTGGGGGAAAAGGCAGGCTATAAATTATAATTTTGCAGGGGACTGCGAATGGCCCTTGGTACAGGGCAGCCACGAGGTGGCATGCTGGGCTTTCGCTGCTGTGCCTCGCTGCTCAGAGAGCAAGTTATTCAAGAAAAGCAGGCAGATCTTTAGTGGAGTTACGTGTAACACCATTCCTATTAACATCCATCCATCCTGCAAGAATGAGCTTTGATTTCCACATAAATGGCTGGTCAGATTTAAAGTTATTGTCATATGATTGAAATAGATCCCTTATGTCAGTCAGTCAAAACAGAATGGAGAATGTGAGTCATGCTTTGCAAAAAAGCAGGAAGTTTGGTTTTGCTGGCACAAATTTTTAGTACAGAGAGAAAATTATATGGCTGTACTGCAGTGTTTGTCTTCGGGATTTGTGAATAACATTGTCCATGCCTTAGAGAAATATTTCCAAAAGAGAAAAGCAAGAACAATTGTTATTCCTTATGCCTCAGGGGTAAGGAATCTAGGGGTCTAGAAGAAAACATGGACTCTCTTGAAAAATATTAGAGCCCCCCTAAAACAAAAGGCTGCTGATCTGGGACAGGGAGGTGGGAGGAAATACAAGAGAATGAGGTAATGCTCATGGGTGTGATAGGGACATTTGCACAAGGCTGTTATGTTTTGCCTTAAGCATAATAAACCTTCATGAACCAGCACAAAGGTAGAAGTGCAAGTCTACTCCTGAAGTATTCCAATATTCTGAAACTTACCAGGGTCTGTGGTTACTGGTGTCTGTCTCTAACCCCTTGAATAACTAGTAGGAAAATAGCTAAGTTACTGTAGAAGGCATGGCACAGAACTAGTTTTTCAGCACAGTCTATAAATACAATGGATTTTAAATTTAAATATATTAGTTACCCTTCAACATGACTGTTCAGGACATTGCTATGCAAGAAAGGTTAATTTAAATGGGAGCAGGTGCAGGGGAGGGCTAGTGAGATGAACAGGGGAGCAGAGAGCCAAAAGTGTACGGGAAGAATTAAAGCCCGTGGCTTGGTTTGCCTAGCAAAACAGAAGGAATTTAATTACTCTTTATAAACATATGAACGGGTAGACGCTCAAGAGAGAGGAGTTATCTAAATAAAGAAAATATTAGCACAAGACCATATGGGTACAATAATAAAATGTCATTTAAGTTACTAAAAATGACATGAGCCATTTGGCATGCAGCACAAGGTAAACTCTTCCGGACTTCGTTATAATGAAGTAAGTAAAAAAAAATTAAAAATCTCTGGATTGAGGTTCAGTGGTTGTCTGGGGAGCAGTGTTCATGAGCTGACTTTGCATACATCTGGTGCTTTAAAAGAGACGTTTTTCCAACTCATCAGAAAATACGAGTGCAGGCAAGAAAAAAATTTAGGTAGAAGGACAATTTAGGACAATTACAAGCTCTTCAAAAAGAGTTCACTGAGCATTCAAAGAGCCACGATTTCAAAATCATGAGAGAAAATACCTTGACAATTCCTGGTTTATTAGTGGTCTGGAGAGAATGATTAAAAATGAAAAAAAAATAGCCAAAATAGGGAAAGCAGGAAATAAAAAAAGTGTTGTTATAAATAACCATATATGTTATGAGAAGCAGATTAGTTATTGGAAGGGAAGCACATCAAAGAAAATCTATAGCTGGCAAGGCTAAATCCCAGAAAACCCTAGTAATGGTACAAGCCCATTACTACATGAACATGATTAAAATGTCAATAATGATGCAGAAGTGTTCATTGAACATTTATGATCTACGTTTGTAAAGAAGCAGGAAGATATGTGGGTAGATTACTTAACAGTGATGTGATAAATATCACTGTTAGTAACCAATGAAGCTCATCTTCTAGGGATAACTGTGCCCAGTAGCTCTGAAACAACTGGCTGCGGAGACCCCTTGTCTGTTAACGTTCATCTTTGGGAAACCTTGATATAGTACGGAAATTCTGGAAAGCTAAAAAAGTGCCAGGTTGGTATCTGTCTTCAGAAAGGACAGTTGTATGATCTCTAGTAAATGTAGATGTAAGAACAGTTCCTGGCTAAATACCATAAAAGCTGGTATGTGACTCAGATTGAAAGAATTAGTAATGCCAGTCAGAGGTCTGATAGAAATCTCATTTCATGCTTCAAAAAGACAACAAAAAATTCAGTTTCATCTGGAAGGTGTAATAAACTTTTTCAAGGATTTTTACTTAGAACTGCACAATATTTTAATAAAGGGTAATAAAGCATCAGTTAAGCATATTAAACACTGACCACATAGATTTTGGGTTTTTTTTTTCAGAACTGGTTATAAATCATTACTGAATAATCTAATGGAATCCCTCCAGGATCATGTATACTATACTACACACGTATGTAATCAATACTTTCATTAGTCATTTGAAAGTAAATACAAAATCACTCCTAATACAATTTGCAGATGCCATCTGCATCAGCAGGGTGGTACAATCAGGATGACAAGGGCCTTTGTTCCAAACAGTCTGGATAAAGGGACTGCCTGATAAGATAGTCAAATGCAATGCCACGCATCTCAGGTATGCATATGTACGCACTGACAGGGACAGGCTGAGAGAGACGTGGGGGTTAGAAGAAAAAAAGCATCATGCTGTGTGCTTGCATACGGCCTACAGTCAGCCTTTGCCCCTATGCAAAGGGGAGGCACACCTAGGGATATACTAGAGCCTGTTCTACCCCTGGATACAGATGACGACAGCACCCTCATCTCCATATTCTGAAACGCAATGCTGAAAAAAAATGGAAAAGGGGAGGGATGGAAAACTGTACTTTAAGGGCTGGAGGAGATTCCTTATGATCAGAATGAAAGAGTTTGTAACTAATTTGGTTTGTTACAAAGAAAGTAAGGGTGTGGCTTGATAAGCTACATACCTGCCTCTACGGGGATGAATACTGGCACAGAAACAGTCATGGTAGCGGCACTAATCATGCCATGATCCATTGCAGGCCGTAGGCATTCCGTTGGTGTGGGTGACAGCCAGCCTCAGCCATGGGAACTGAAGGATCAGCCCCTCCTGGTCCCCAGCGCAAAGGAGATAACGGAAGTGGGGGAAAACGGCCCCTGAAGGATGCAGAAGCGTTACTTGCTTCATAAAGGAAATCAAAACCTGTGAATACATGGAGGCTGCTGCGACACTTGGCCAAGACGCTGAGGCAGCTGTTCTTGGGCCTATCGGTCACCGTGTTATGGCACACACGTACCTACCCAGCCAAGCTCGCCC